GTGCCAGGTACTCAAAACCTGGGTTCTAACCCAGGTCTCTACTACCCTTTCCCCGAATTCCCCAAAGTCAAAAAAAAAAAAAAAAAAAAAAAAAAGAAAAAAAGAAGAAGCTAAAAAGCAGTTGGTAATTAAATGTTATTTGCTAAGTTTGCAATTATGAGACAAATGTTACTTCTGCAATAGGCGAAGGAAGACAAATGTTATTTGCTAAGTTTTTCTTCAAGAAAAAAAAATAAAACAAAAATTAAAAGGACCAATAAAATGAATGGTATTTCTACATTCTAGCAGAATAGACATAATACTCTTTACCTAAATTATGAGAGGAGGTATAAAAAAATTTTTTTTTTAATAATTCACTTAACAGTATAATATTAATGATAAAATTAATAATAATTTTTATATTTTTTTAATATTAATTAATATAAAAAATATAATAATTATATCCCTAAACTACATCACATGTCCGGAAAACTTAAAATAAGAAGTTAAAATTTTTTATTTAAAAAAAGAGTTAAAAATTTGTTATTTTAAGGCACAACTTAAAAAAAATTAGAGTGTTTTATTTAAAAAAAGTTTTAACAGTTTTTTTTTTTATTCAGAGTCGAGGAAAAGGTTAGACCATTTTTTTTTTTGGTATAATCATACAGTATCAAGAAATTTATTGAACTATTGACTAATTCAGATTTAAGTCAGGTAAAATTCAATAGACTAGAAAACTCTCTTTCATAAATTTTAATGAAACTACCATTATCAAAGTTTGAATTCAAAATCTCTAACTATGTCGAAAGAATTCCAACCAACTCATCCAGTTGTCCATACTTGAAAAATTTTAGACTATACAGACGGATGAAAAATATATATAAAAACCGTTCGGAAAGGGGAATCGAAAGGACACAACAGGTATATGCTTTTCATCCTCTACCAATCATATTCTGACACGTCTTTCAATTAACTTGATCTCGTTCTCATCCAAACAGAGCCCTACCTAATATATAAATCAACCATTTCCAGATACTTTGGTGGCCTTTCTGTTTTTCTCTCTTGGAATTCTGTCTCTGTGTCTACTTCTTACTACGCCTTCATCTGAGACAGAGAACATGGCCCGCCGAAGATCTGGAGGTTAGTTTTTCATCTATTCTTTTTCAGATCTACAAGCATTCTAAAAATTTGTATGGAAATGTGTTTGTGATTCTAGAATCACAGGGCTTGTTCCTTCCTAGCATTTGTCGCTTGTGTTCCGTCATCATCTTATATATTATTTGGAGCACAAGGGGAAATTTGATTCTCGATCGTCAGTTTGGTTCTATTCTGGGTTTAGATTTTTGGAAATGTAACTTAATATTATATTGGGGTTCTTGTTTGCAGTTTTTATGGTAAAAGATTAGATTTTTCATGGTTATTCAAAAAAGCGGTTTATTTTCTGTCTGTATTTTTTTGGAATCTGCATCTGTAGATTGATTTAGTTAGGGGGTTACTTGGTGTTGTTTCAATTTAAACATGAAAGTTTTTATTTTTATTTTTGTACGTTTTGGGTTGTAAAAATATGGCTAGCTATGGAATATACACGGTTCAATTTTTTTCAATCAGGCAGTTTAACTTGGGGAGGTCTGTATGGTGTATGTTCACTAAGATTGTTGGTGTTTTAGTCATTTCTTAGGATTTTATATAGAGGAGAGAAACGGTGATTTTAAGGGTTTTATTTTGTGTATATCTTTCGACTTATTTTTGCAGGAAGATCTGCTCCTCGGGCAGCTCCCCGTCCAGCTCCTGGTTCTGCTCCTGCTCCTCAACCAGGTAGTCACATTTTTTTTACATGTTTGTTTCTATTTGGCCTGTAACATTAGGTATATAATTGCTAAATCTTGTATCTTTTTGCGATATATATGAAGGTCTGGCTTGTAATCTGAGGTTTTATAATTGCTAAGGTTTGTTTCTCTTTGCGATATCTGTGAGGTCTGCTTTTAAAGTTGTTTTGATTTATTGATGCAGTACATCATGCTCCCCCTCCAGCTCCTGCTCAGAGTGGAAGTGGTTCTATTCTAGGAGGCATTGGTTCAACCATAGCTCAGGGTATGCTAAAAAAATACTCAAACCTTTTATACTATTCATCTGGTTTATTTGCCTTCTGCCATGATGCATAGTGATTCTGATTAAGCATTGGTCTGAAACGTCTGTCCTTCTGGTCTTTGTTACAGGTATGGCTTTTGGAACTGGAAGTGCTGTGGCACACAGGGCAGTGGATGCTGTGTTGGGTCCTCGTACCATTCAACATGAGACTGTGGTCACTGAGGCTGCAGCAGCGCCCACTGCTAACAGTCTTTCTGGCTCTGATGCATGCAGCATCCACTCTAAGGCATTCCAGGATGTATGTTGACTTTTTTCTTTCAGTTGGTTTTGAGTAACATTTTCTAGCATTAGTAGTTGAAAATATTTTTCAATAGAATAGTTTTTTAATTAAGAGTTTTTACTAGAAAGAATGACACCCCAGGTGCAAGTTCTATCTATGCCTAAGTTCTTACTTTCCTTATTAGGATTAGATTTCTTTTTATTTTGTCTTTGCCAGTATCATTTATTCTTTATTGTTATGATTTTCTCTTAGAATGATGATTTTCATATAAATTCTTTAATTGCTCATGGGCAAGTTTTATGCTAAAGCTCATTTACAACACACTAAATCTCTTTATTGCTTTTGCTTTGTTTGTAGTGCATTAGCAACTATGGAAATGACATTAGCAAGTGTCAGTTCTACATGGATATGTTGTCAGAGTGCAGGAAGAACTCAGGATCTTTGAGTGCCTAAGTTCCATCTCTCTGCTTTGTCATGTAGTGGAATATCAGCATTCAGATTTCTCCGCTTATTTTGATTTTGCTCGTAATGATGATGAAGCTGTATTCTGACTATGTTTGAATAACAGCCATGAGTACTGAATATATTTAAATGGCAGACCATTCTGGTTCTTCGGTTGGACTTTAATATGACCGCATTGCATGATATATCCTTATTCCTCTTGAGAGTCATTATGGTGGTGTCTGGAAACAGTTGTTATGGAATCAATGGATCATAGTTTTCTGTTTATCGTGTTCTTCCACATACCATCCCATCCTCCCTGTACTTCTAGTAATATCCTGCCTCTGTCATTGTTTCCTTCTTCCCTGTCAATCCTGGCGGCTCGCCTTTTATGTGCTAGTATAAACTTCAGTGTGTTCTTGCAGAAGTCAAAGGGATAACCCTAAGTCTACTACATATTTCAGTATGGAAATCGAGTCACGGGGATCCAATTTGTCAGCCCAACTCAACCCAACCCAATTCTCTTATCAAAACAGGTGACGTGCAAAACTCTGTGGACCATAAACCTACTTGACCCAACTTGTTTGACACATAACTCATATTGACTCGGCCTAACCCAACTCTTAAGTCAGGTCTACTCTACTGTAAAGCGTTTGGCACTGAAGTTGGAAGTTCATATTGACAGGGTGCTTGCTCACCATCAAAGAGAGTTTCTAATCTGCCTCCAGCATCAAACAAATTATGTCATATCAAGTTACCCTAAGTTGCCCTAAATCAACTCAACACTCACTCGAAGCAAAAGTCCCTGGACTTAAAAAAGCTGAAAATCAGAAATTAAAGACTTTCACAGCCAGCAAATGATCCACCCGTCAAATTGATGAATTCGTGCCATTGAAAAGGCAATGAAAAAAAAAAGGAAAAAAAGGGGAAAAAAAAAAGGAAAAAAAGGGGACATGATTCGAATGTTTCTTCCAAACAAATCAAAGCTCTCGTCTGCATCGCAACATCATCTTCACTAGTTTTAGGGAATTAATTATATAACAATTTCTTGAGAAGCACCATGCGTCGACAGATCCAAACGTCGTTTCCGTGGGCATCATTGCAGCTTCCGGTGATAACCGTCATAGAGTTTGATTGATCTCATTGTCATTAGGAAACTCGCCGTTGGCAACGCGTGCCTCGAGGAAGCTAGACTTTCCACTGCTCTGGCTCCCAACCACTGCCATCTGTGGCAGCTCTATTCTGGACGGCTCCCCTGAATAGCGAATTTGTTCTTTA